GGGTGGAGGGGGTGAAGGGAAGGCAAGGGAAGGGGAAAAAAATAAGAACCAAGAGACTCATGTAAAGGTACAAGATCCCAATGATGAATGTAACTGTATTTTATATCGAAAATGTACCAATAAACTTAATGGGGGAAAAAAAGATTTGTCATGTACAGCTACAAATTCCCAATAATGAATGTGATCATAATGTGTACCTAAAATGTACCAATAAACTCAAAACTAATGAGTCTTAACCATGGATCTCAAATTTTTGCCTTCAAAAATTGAGGCTATAGGGCCATCCTTACCATACTGAGTTATCACTTAGCTTTTAATTAGTTCTCATTACTCTCAGATCATGTTGTAACTAAAACAATAATCTCTTACATTGGAGTGGGCAGAACATTAAAAAATATATTATCCTGTGACATTATGGCAGGGCTTATTGGCTCATAGTTTACTGCTAATAGAGGATCTAAGGGCTTAAGTGACTTTCCTCAAAGCGTAGGGATCTCAACCCACACAAGCCTCATTTTAGGTTTTCCCATACTCCTTGCCTATTTCTTCTCAGAGATAAATTTCCTTCTACTTCCTTAGGACACTTAGAAGCCAGTCATAGGACAAACTCATTTCCATTCATTCCAAATTACTGTGTCTTGGCCACATTCCCTCATGTTGGTTTGGTTCTGGAATTGGAAACAGCAAAGGAATAATGGTTTTTTCCTAAGTGTAGGTTTTGACACAATGATACTAACATGAAAAGGGGATTAGGGACTGGGGAAAATGGGGAGTGACTGCTAATGGGAATGGATTCTCTTTTTGGGGGGTGATAAAGTATTCTAAAATTGATTGCGGTGATGGTTGTACAAATTAACCCAGTAAAGACTGCACAATCCAAAATCTGAAAAACTCCAAAGCTTGGACCACTTCTGGTTTCATGCATTTTGGATAAGGAATATTCACACTACACCATGTAGGTGGCCTACATTTGTAAATGCTAGAATTTGGGAACTGCTCAGTATAAAATGTGGTGGCTATGAAAGACCAAAAGATTTGCTATTCCCATCTTCTACTTATCTACAAGATTTTTTTTTTTTTAGTACCAGGACTAATCAAACTCAGGACCTCGAGCTTGCCAGGCAGGTGCTATGCTGCTGAGCTACATCCCCAACCCATGAGATTATGGTCCTTCATCCTCTACTCCAGTAAGGATTCTGAGTTGTTTGGCTTCCTCAAAATATGCTTCATCCTCTGTTTTTGCCAAAAGTAACCTGCTACTGGGTGACTCAATTGCCATTTTACAACCTTGGGTTTTCAACTTGAGTTCCAGTTTCTATGGGTTTAAAAGAGACGAGAATTTATCCTTTCTCTAATACTTTTTAAGAGTATCAAGTCAACATCTTTGGGGTTGAGGTGTTTTAACATCCAAAGACTTCATCCAAGCTCTTGTAGGAGCAGAGACTTTCAAAGTTGATTCCCTCAAGTGTTCCTTTATAGATACAATGGCCGGCCCATTTCTGGACATTTTTGGAAATAGGGGAAGTTTAAGTACAGCAGAGGAGGCCAATTTTCCTACTGCATCTTTCATAAGCACCCTGTGGCTTGCATGTACCCAAGGGCATTATAGGTGTTCTTAACATCTCATTTGATTCAAGATTCTTTCCTACCACAGAATCATTTATGTACCTAACATTTTCACCTAGCTGTTATACATGGTGCTATCACAAAAGCCCTGGACATCTACTTTCAAAGTGAACAGAGTGGTCTAAGTGTCCCTAGTAATGGCTCACCTTCTGCATGATGCCCTTTTCATAGTAATAGCGTAGAGAACGGCTCAGTTTGTCATAGTTCATGGCTGGCCGGTTCTTCTGGATGCCCCAACGCCGAGCAACCTGAAGGACAAGGAAAATAAGAAGCAATGGAAACACATTCCCCGGGCCTATTGTTTCCTATTGTTTTCGGGCCCAGGAGTGCCAACTCTATAACCTGCTTGCCTTGGCAATGATCCATTTCTGTGACCTGCAAGGAAAAGCATTTAATCCCCTTAAGAGCAAACACTGAACAAAGGTGATGACTTAGTTACAACTGCTAGGAGGTGAGACTTAGAGGTAGAAGAATCCTAGCACTTTAAGATTGCAGAGGGCTTGGCTAACATCCCAGAGGATGCAGGCTCTCTACTGTTTCTCCACGTATGAATTATTGACCAATACTCACGGACCATTAACATGTTGCCATTAAGTGCTATGGTTTCTGTAGCAGTCAATAAGGAATAATTAGAATGGTCATTCCTGAAACATTAGAAACACACTAGTGAGTTGCTAATGGGCCAGCAGAGCAAAAGTTCAATTCTAATAAGATTGGAGAGGGGCTGCGAGATGCTTACTTATTGCAGCTCATGGACTAAGGGGGAATTGGATCATTTCGGCCTGCTGCCATCCAATCCGCTGCTCCCTGCAGACTTGCAGAATGGACATTAAAGCATGTAGTGCCATTATCCACTTAATGAAAAATTAACAGGGCCTCCCGAACGGTTCTGAAGTGCATTATACCCAGCCCAGTCCACCTGAGGTGCAGTGATGGGGAGATGTAATTGGAGCTTTGGGTAAAGAAGCCTTAGAACAGGAAAAATTCCTGGTGGAGTCTACTCAGTTACCAGGGCAGCAGCAAGTTCTGTTCTCAGTACCCCCACTTCCAAAACCCTCCTCGTGAGGTCAAGCATCAAGGAGAACAACCCCGAAGTATGAGTTTTCTCAGAGATCTTTAAATGTATGGAAAGCAGGAGTCAGGCTTTTAACATTTTCAGACAGTTTTAGGAATTAAGAAAAACCAGTAAGATTCTCTTGGGATTTTAAAAGTCAAATGTTGAATATGGAGTAGGAAAGTAGAGCGAAAACAGCACTGCACACAGAGATTTTAGGCAGAATGAAAGCAGTCTCTTCAATTCGGGATTCTAAAATGAGCTTTGATAAATGCCAGAAATGATCTATTAAGGAAGAATGCACCTGTCCTAATTATGCTAGAAAAATTCAATAGCCAGGATTCCATTCCGCTGTGTGAGAAACCCTGAGAAGGTTGTTTCCGCTCATTCGTGTGCTTCATGCCCTTCTGTCACACCACTACTCTGAGGCTCCTTCTTTCCTCCATATCTCACCCATTCAAGTCCGTCTCCAAACCAGCCAGTAAGGCACAATTCACCAAAAATGACATCTTAGTTCTAGAGGATAAACATGTTCAACCAAGGGAAAGAGTGGTAGGAAGGAAAACCTGTGAAATCAGTGAAAGTCGTTCTGCCCTATTCAACTGAAATGACTCTCTGTAACTAATCTCGAACTGCTGTCTGCAGCCAGTGAGTGCCACGGGGGTATTTCCAAGAAGCCTTGCCTCATCGCTACACTCTGTTTTGGTAGTGGGAAACAATTCTGAATATTCTTCAACTTCAGTGCTGATCTCCCTTTGCTGTCGCTTGCATATTGCAATAGCTCACTGGAGAGAGGCTTCTGTACAATGCACAGATTTTGAAGCAGCTCGGGTAGCCATAGTTACTGACTCATCCTCCTGGGACAGAGCCCTGTGATTCAGTAGCCCTCGCCACGCTGCTCCTTCTATAGCAGTCCATGTGGCAGAGCTCCAGAGCAGCTGGAGATGAGGGCTGCCCCTCTCGGTTGCATAGGGAGCAGGCAGGCGCTAGCTACCAGCTCGGTCTTTTTTCCATGCCTCCCAATAGTTACTTAGGGAGTGCACATCTTGAGGACCGAGGCTGAAAGAGTTAAAAAAAAAAATCCACCTAGCTCCTCCTCCCCTTTCAGGAGAGCAGGCGCAGCCCAGGGAGCGCTTCTTTCTAGCAGCCATCCTTTAAACCCTCTGTGGCATCACTTATCTGCCACATGTTCAACAAACAACCCTACCCCCCAAAATATTCATTAATGCAGATTCACAGTTAAAATGGCTCCAGATTAGAGCCGAGTCAGTCATAATTGAGAGGGTGCTAAGCTGGATGACTATCAAAAGACATTTGATTAGGGGGCCTGCCAAAACGCAGTTCTAAAACCACAATTTCCATGCACAGTGTAATGGATATTATGGATAATTACCCAGAGTGCACTACTCAGCCACACAGCTGCCTACAATTATGTCCCCAACAGCTTCTTCCTCCGCTTCACCCTTCAAGCTCCCCCATGACGACTTCTTACAGCTTTTTTCAGGAGTTGGTATCCTCCTGACATTAAAAAGAATAGGGCCCTCATGGTACCACAAGGAGCAGGGGAAAACTCTGCAAATGCTGCCTGTCCCCAGCTGAAGTGCACTCTGGGAACCCAGTCGGTCCTGGGTGAGGAGAACAGAGCATCTGCAGCTTATGGAGTGGCCGGACGGAGGCTTCAAGGTGAAGTGGAAAGAACAATTCCTGAAGAAACACAGCTGCCCAATCAACAGAGAGGCTCAAGGCCACTCACACATGTGACTCAGGGGGTTGGCATTTATGAGCATTCTGGATTAATATTAGTTTCTTTATTAAGAAAGCAGGGGCCCTTTGCCATCTGTTCATCATTTTCCTTACCACTGGTAGGAGAGTAGAAGATTCAATAACAGCTTTACAAAGGGTCATAACCAGGTTTACCTGCAGCTGGACAGCCTGTGCTCAGGCCCCAGGCAGTGGCAATAAAGTAATAAAAGCTCCTGTTTGTGAAACAAGATAAATCAATAAGGGCTGCCCACACGACAGACTGGCTTTCAGAAAGCCTCCCTGAGTCAAGGTGACGCACTTTCCTCCAGACTCACAGAAGCTGGGCCACGCCTATGTGGGGAGGTGGTCTCCAGGAGGACAGGTAGCTGGAAATGCGGTCATTTCCACATGACTTAGGCAGGAAGAACTAGGCCAAATCACCTCACTGGTGGGCTCAAGTGAGCCCTGGAGTTGGGTGAACAGCTGAAACTGTAGTCCTTGCTCAAATCCTTTCCCAGAATACTGTTTTCATTTCAATTTTACCCAACCCAAAGACACCTTTTGCTCTGCTGATTTAACACATGCACCAAAGAACACACGATTGAGAGCAACGTAGCAGTTTTGGGAAGCACTTATTTCTTTAGCTTTTAAGTCAAATCAAAATTAAATCACTTCCTCTTCAGAATAGGTTACATTGAGAGCCTGATTTAATTTACTTCGCTACATGATATTTGGTGAGCTTCAGGAAGGGGTTCCATGCTGTGTTTTCTCCACTGAAGAAATGGCATTGATTCTGTCTTCAGCCTTTCTGTCAACAGTTCTGGGCTAAAAGACAGTAGCAGGGTTTCTCTTTTTTAATAACAAGATAACGGAATGAAGCTAGTAACACACTTAAAAAAAAAAACAACGAAGTTCCAGGTGGGTGTGGTGGTGCACACCTATAATCCCAGCGCTCTGGGAGGGTGATGCAGGAGGACTGCAAGTTCAAGTCCAGCCTAGGCAACTCAGTGAGACTGTCTCAAAATCAAAAATGAACTGGGGATGTATCTCAGTGCTAAGGCCCTAGGTTAGGGACAGAGTTGTTAAAAAAAGAAAAAAAGTCCTATTATCTCTGATAATTTTGTTTCTCCAGGTTAGAGCCATGTGAAATAGGAAGTGTCATTTTCATTACTAAAATCTCATTCTCCAAGTTCACATAGCTTCAGATGTGGACTCTGATGGACAAGGGCTGAGACCAAAACAAGTCTATGTACTGGTGCAGCCACCGTGGAAATCAGTGTGGAGATACCTCAGAGAACTAGGACTGGAAGTCCCATTTGACCCTGCTATTCCCCTGCTGGGGATCTTCCCCAAAGAATTAAAAGAATCATACCACAGTGATATATGTGCACCCATGTTCCTAGCAGCACAGTTTGTGATAGCTAAAACTTGGAAGCAGCCCAAATGCCTATCAACTGGAGACTGGATCAAGAAAATGTGGTTTTTATAAAATACAGTACTCAGCCATCAAAAATGAGAAACTAGAGACATTTATAGCTAAATGGATTGAGGCCATTGAGGCGATACTCTTAAGTGAAATAAATAGGACACACACGTGTAAATACCAAATAGTTCCTCCAGTGTGAGAAACTGGAAGTGTAAATAAGGACTAAAAGGTCTAATAGGTAACGTGAAATAGGAAGAAAAGGGGCAAAGGGGAAGGGGAAGTGGGAGGGGTAGGGGAAAGGAAAGAAGGGAATGGAATTAATATGAGAAAATGAAAAAAAGGAAACAAAGTCTTTGTAAACAGGGAGGGACAGAGGGGTTGAAGGGAGGGCAGGGGAAGGGGGAAAAATAATAAGAACCAAGATGCATTATGTAAAGGTGCATATTTCCAATGATGAATGTCATTATACTGTACATCTAAAATGTACCAATAAAAGGATATACAAAAACCCCCCCCAAAAACAAAAACATGTCTATGTGATTCAAACAACACTTGAAAAACTTTCCAAGAGGGAGAACATATCCTGTTTGGATTTATGTCTTCATGGATTTACTCCCCGGCCTTTGGGGGAATCCTACAAATACTTCACATATCCTACACTGGCGGATTCTACCTATCTATGTAAACTGGCCTAGTAACAGGAAGGGCAGGCCTGCCTCACAAACACAAGGACCCTAGTTCCATCCCCAGTACCAAAAAACAAACAAACAAACAAAAACAAAACCAAACAGGAAGAGCACAGCCAAGTCCACTTGTCAGTCCAGCAGGAGGATGAGAAGAGCGTATTCAATACAGTAAAAAGCCTCAGTGGGGATCTCAACAACAGTGAGCATCAACAACAAATCCAAAGTTGCCTGTGCCCGTGTGTAGCACTGACCTCCTCTGGTTCTATCAGCTTGAACTCCATGCCGCGTCCGGTCCAGGCAATGAAGTGGGCATTGGCTGGGTCATCCAGAAGGGTGACCAGGAACTGCCACAGCTGCAGCGAGCCTCGCCTCTGGTAAGGGGGGCCCTCCCGATACATGGTGGGCTCCTGCTTGACTTTGCCTGTTAGGGACAAAGACACATGTGTTACAGTTTAGCCCAGGGTGTCTTGGCCGATTTGGACTAAAAGGAGTCGTTTCTGCTGATTTAGTCGTTAACTGGGTGAGACTGAGGGACTGTGACATCTCCAACCTCGTGTCTCAGCATCACACCTGGGATGGGCTACTTACCTTCCAGTCGCTCAGGCACAACGCAAGTGTCGTCGAAGTATAACCGGGGATCTTTTTCATATGGAAAACCTGCAGGAGTTTAAAGAGAAGGACCATGTTGCTCAACAGATTCTCTGTGTTGTACTTAAAAAAAACTATGAATTGAGGGACTAAACTGTGATTCTATCATTTCAGGCCCTAAGGCCTACTGCTGTGCTTATGCCAGGATGAATTTTGGGGGACTCTGAAAGGACTTGGGCACTGGAATTCTGAAGTGAGCAGCTGAGCCTCGGCTGGAACAGCATCAGTTCCTGCTACCAGAGCTGAGGCTGTGGGAGGCACTAAGTCACCACTGGGTTCCTTCACGTCTTGCGTACGAGGTCTGCATGGGTCAGTGTTGCTGTGACTAAGCCCTTGATCTGAAAAGACATCTTGTCTATTGTGGTTTGCCCAGCTGGATGGATTTATTTGACCTGCAGGGATTCTTGCCATTTTCCTTTTAGCAAATATTAATTTCAACCTTTCCTACAAACCGGTCTGGGCTTCCCACGTGCCTCATCCAGTCAGGAAGGTATGGAGAGTAAAGAACACTGCCTACATGAAGAAAGCCTCAGGCCTAGAGTGGGTCCTGGAGAGCAGTGTGTTTCAAAGCAAGTTGGAGGCACAGTGGAAGGAATCTGGGAGACTTTCTAGCAATAAAGCCTATTCATTGCAGATACCAAAGCTGAGGTCTCAGAATGGGAAATGACTAGTCCAAAGATGCATATAAAGGAAGTAAGACACAGGCTTAAACAGGTCTGCCTGGGCCAGGGATTTAGCTCAGTGGTTCCGCCACCTGCCTTGCAAGCGCAAGGTCCCAAGCTCAATCCCCAGTACCAAAAAAAAAAAGTAAAACAAACAGGTCAGCCTGACTTTCTCTGTCCATGGACCCTTCCTATGCTTAGTGCTGCCCACGTCACCAGGCCCCTAGACAAGATCAGGGGTTCATAGCAAAGGCAGCTGGCAGCCCTCCCGGGGGCTCCTTCTCTGTGTCTTAGAGGTCTCAGAACTACAGTGTGTATTTCTCTGCCAATGCACTTTGCAGGAGCTCCTGTCTGAGCAATGATGTCTCTCCGGGCTTGGTTTGCACTGCTTCACCCGGCTGAACAGTACAGATAGTGAGTACTGGATATGTAGTGTGATGGGGACGGGAAAGGGCTCTATAACAAGACTTCACTAGAACTTCAGAGGGATTTGCTGTGACTTGAATAATCAATGGGTAAAGCAGCCAAGACGGGATCCCACTATTCTCCGCTTCTTCACAACGAGCCCACATAAAGTAGCTCCTTGGCAAAACCAGTATCATTTGAAGAGGCCCAGGCCTGGAAAAAAAACAGCCCAACTTGGAGGAAACTGAGACTGTTTTGAGATTCGTTTTATTCATTTTTGTATCCCTAGCACTCGGCATGATTTCTCTGTTGTTTACATCAAAGGAAGTTTATTTTATTGGCATTTATTTATTATTGAACCCATTATATATTTAGGCCAGGCATTATGCTAGAGGGAGGTAGGGAGCGAGGAGAATACAGACCTGGGACATATTCTCATAGTCCTCAAATCTCAACTGGGCCAGACAGACAGTAAGAAAAAGAAATGAGGGGGCCCCAGTGTAGCATGGAAATTAAAGAGTGCAGGCCCTGGGGCCAGACTGGTGGATCCAGTTAGCTGTGTGATCTTGAATAAATGAATCCTGCTGTGCTCCAGTTTCCTCATCAGGGAAGGCTAGGGAAGAGAATAATTCCTGCCTTACAGGGTTATGAGAATTTAATGAGTTAATATAAACTCTGTTCCATGGATCTATGTCTCTACCTTTACTACAGAGCACCAAGAATAGCTGCTGGAACATAAGCATGTAATAAATGATAGTTTAAAAAAAACAAAACAAACTATCACAATTGCACATCGTGATAAGTACCACTAAGAAATTAACTGGAGGCAGGCCAGAGATTTAGCTCAGTGGTTTCACTGCCTGCTTTGCAAACGCAAGGTTCCAAGTTTGATCCCCAGTACCAAAAAAAGAAAAAGAAATTAACTGGATAGTGGGAGAGCTTTAGCTTACATTTTCTGTCATGAAAGCTAAATTCTTCAAGGATAAGAACCATATCTTGAGTATCTTAGTGGCCTCAGAGTACCTTGTACGGAAGAAGTACTCAAAAAATATTTGAATAAATGAGAGATCTGTAGCCTCCCATTTAAAAAAGATTTAGGATAACACTTCTAAGTTTTAAGTCAGGCATTTATTGACTCCTGATAAATTTATAGGTCATCAGTGAGACATATAATCCTTTATGCAACATGCTTTTCACCTTGGCTCTCAGGAAGCTATGTACTTCCGGACCCTCCATATGCATTATGACATTCCAGGGATGTTTAGACAGTCTCATTATAAAGTCAGTGTAAGGAAACTATTTCAAAATTTACAACTTGTCAAGCTTGCCGTGTTACGTTTAGAACTCTTCTTCCTTTAAGGTAAATACAAAACATTCACTATATCCCTATATTCATATTATATGGATGCTAACACACACACACACACCCCATAAATCTAGATTAAATTCATGGTTTGGTTTTCAGAAACCGCTCAGCTAAAGGGCTACAAGGAGTACTGTTTCAGTACATTTTGTGGTTTCTAGCTATTGTCACATGTGACCCTCTAAAACATCTGGAAGGCGCTATTGGTTTGAGTGAAATTTAAGTCAGCTGAACTTGCACCAGTGGTTATTTCATTTGTGGCCACAACCATGTAATCACTCAGATAAAGGTGGCAGGAAAGAAGAACCTATTTGTGGGGCAAAGTGGAAATGAAAGATTCAAGACACTCTGCAAGGACTCCAGGTGAGCGCTCAAGGCAGGATGGCTATCTCAGCAATCACAGATGCCAATCAGAAACACCTGTTTCCCTAACTGTTGCATGGGCATCTGAGGTCAATCTTGTATAAAAAGCATAGAAAAACCATGTCCGGGTAATTTACAACAATTAAAAATCCTGGTCTTTTTGGAAATAACTTCTTGAATGCATGTGTGTAGGGTCAGGGAAAGGGGGGGCCACACACACTCACTAGAGTCTGTGTTCAGTAAGCAACCCTATGCCTTACTAAAAATATTTCCTTTAAGATCATACTCTTTCCTAAATGTTGTAATTATGCCAAATGTTTTCCTCCCTCTTTTGCCCAACTCCTCCTAGTTGCCTGCTGCAGACATCAACTGCTTCTGTAGAAACATTTGGGAACCTGGAAGAGAGTGCCGCACCACTGTGCTGATCACAGCCAGCGGCCCCTTAGTCCTGCCCTTCCCTTCCAGGGCTGGACACTCAAGAGCATCACAGGGCCCCTGGGCAAACACTGGGCCTCCCATCTAACTGAGCCAGTGGGAAGGAGCTACCCACAGGAATTACTCTTGTAAATGAATCACCCCTTAAAAATCAGCCAATGTTTCATGGGTACAGTTCTTTGGACTATCATCCAAAATGCTAGAAATCAGTGGTTCTCAACCTTTAGAGTATACTGGATCTCACCCTAGATTTTCTGATTTAACTGCTCTTGGTAAAGACCAGATCAAAATATTTTCACCCCCCAGCTCAAGCTGTGCAGCCAAAGCTGAGAATCACCACTCTGTAGTTATAGAACTTGAAGGCACATCAGCAACTCCTGCAGGACTGTGAAAGCAGGCTGCCAGTGCTGATGTGGTCTCCAGTGAGTCCTGAGACTACATTTGTGTCAAGTTCCAGGGGAAGCAATGACCCAGAAGTTTGGGGAATCACACAGCTCTAGATACTTAATATGACACAAAACAAGATACACTTCCAGGGGACCTATTCAAAAAACAAACAGGGCTGGGGAGTTAGCTCAGTGCTTCCTGTGGCTGCTTCGAAAGCACAAGGTCCCGGTCCCAAGTTCGATCCTCAGTACCAAAACAAACAAACAAAAACAACTCACCCATCCTTTCCTGTTTCAGTGATAGGAGGAATGGAAGCCCTGAAAGCCATGCTCTGCCCAGAAGTATAACTTCAGTCATGAGCCTACCTCTCTCAGCCTTTCAGGCCCCCATAGACTTCATCTCAGTCCCCAACCAACCGGCCTTCTTTCCACCAAATGAGCGGACTGATTTGCCATTGTCACCCATGACAGCTTAATTATCCTCCCCCAACAAAAGAGCCCCCCCCTTCCTCCTCTAGATTCCCATATAATTACTTCACTAAAGAATCTCAAATTTTCAAAATCTGTGATGATGCACTAAAAACAAACAACAAAACGGGGTGGGGGTGGGGGCTCGAAAACTGGCAGCAGATGCCTTGCAAGTGTCACATTCCTTAAACCCAGAAGTTTCAGAGATTCAGCATCAAGAACCAAATGTCCACTGCAGATTACTCTGTGACTAATCTGTAAGTAGCTACATTTTCAGCAAGAGGTGATATCCATGCTAAATTCTGTGCAGCACTAAGGAAGAACCTCAGGAACGCTGGATGCTACAGCAATGTGCAGGGAGATGAAGAATTTGACACTTGGCTCAGAATTCTGCCTCTACCTCTCCAGCCACATGACCTTGAGCAGTTTTTTTCTTTTGGGTACTGGAGACCGAACCCAGGACCTTGCGCTCGGGAGGCAGGAGCAGTGTCGCTAAGATAAATCCCTGGCCCAAGCAATTTTTTTTAAACAGTCTTGCCATGTAGTTTTAGGCTGGTCTTGAATTCACTCAGTGGTCCAGGCTGGCCTCAAACTCACAATAAGTCTTTCTGCCTCAGCCTCCCAAGTGCTGGGGTTATAGTCACGCACCATCAGGAACAACCTTGAGCAAATCTTTAAACTTCTCTGAGCCCTTTTCCTCAGCACTCTATGGAACTAAGAGGACTGCTGTGAATAGCACGAGGTTTTAGACATATTAAGCATTGAACGGAAGTTAATGACTATTGTTAATGAGTCCTGTGTATAACCTGTAAGCACAGGAAAAATGGAGACTATACGGTAAGTTAATGACTATCTCTGGACAGTAGGATTTAATTGTCTCTTTTTTCCTGTCAATATTTTTTCGAGTCTACGTTTTTTAAACTATAAATTTTATTTTATCCCATTCCCTCCCCTCCCTATGTACAAGTTTTGTTTCCATTTTTCCCTTCTATTTTCACTTTTTGTCCTTTTCTTCTTTTCCCCTTCCCATTTCCCAATATCTATTAACCATTTTAGTCCTTATTTCTACTCTCAGTTACTCACACCAGAGAAACAATCAGTATTGAAACATGTGTGTCTGATTTATTTCACTTAAAGGTATGGTCTGTCTGTCTGTCTGTCTGTCTTTCTTTCTTTCTTTTTTCTTTCCTTCCTTCCTTCCTTCTTTCCTTCCTTCCCTCCCTCCCTTCCTTCCCTTTCTTCCTTCCTCTCTCTCTCTTTCTTTCTTTCGAGACAGGGTCTTGCTATATATATAGTCTAGGCTGGCCTACAACTCGTGGTGATCCTCCTGCCTCAGCCTCACGAGCGCTGCCTATAATTTCTAAATTCCATGGAATCAACATTTATCTTGTGTGGCAAGCTACAAACACAGCTCAAAAGCAAGCTCCTGCAGTGAACTCTGAGACCCTCGCTCCATTCTAACCACCTCCTGCAGCCCGTATGCCACAGAACATCTATGCATCTTATTTGCTCTAAATGACTTTGGCCCTAATTAGGTCAGTGCTAACGAAGGCAAAGTTACAGGCTCAACCCTGCCCACTGCTCTTACTCCTAATTACAGTGAGATTATCCCAGAGCCTTGTAGAGTTGGTCCCAAAGGGACTGGCCGTAAGAACTTGAACAGACAGCACAGCCTTGACATAAAACCATCATTTTAATATGCCAATAAATGTCAGGGCAGATGATAAGTCAGGCTTGTGGGTAAACTGCTTTGTACTGGTTCTATTTCTCCTTTAAGGCACTCTGTAATCCATCCAGTCAGGAACATTTCTTTGGTGACGCTCCATAGTGTTTTGTCTGCCACAGCTCTACATGGCCCCACCCCACCACTCCCTTTGCCCACCAACCAGCTTCCCTGCTCACTGAGGCCACAGAAGCAACCCTCAGCTCTCCCTCCCAACGCCAACAGCGGAAATCACTCGTCACAGAGCAGTCAGTGAGGAGCTACCCACCCAAACCAAGAACCGAGAAACACATTTTAAAAATCTTATGTAAAATGTCCTTGGACCCTATGACCATCCTCACTGACACAATTCCTAAGTTCCACTTTAGGCTGATATATCTGGAAACGAGGAGACCAAGTAGGCTCCCTGTTTCTTCACATTCTCATAGAAACTCTTACAAGTTAGGGTCATCGTTGTTAAAAATGATGGTACCCTCACAGTCCTTAGGAGTGTACCTAGTACCCTGTGAGCCAGGTAATTGAAGATTATGATCAATTAGCTCTCATCATCAGCTAAGGAGAGTTTAACCTAATATCTGAAATTTCAGCCTGGAAACACCAATTGTATACTTGAATGTTTTCTTTTGTTTGTTTTGAGACAGGGTTTCATTATGCAGTTCAGGCAGCAATCTTCCTGCCTCAGCCTCCTCAGTGGTGAGATGACAGGCATGTGCCAACACGCCCAGGTTTGATGTTCTGTTTTAAAAAGGAAGCCCCTTACCTTCATGGCTGCTGGAGAAATATCCCCCTCTCATGTAGGATGACTGGCAGTTAGGCACTTCTGAAAGGTAAGCACAGATGTACACACTTCTGTCAACAGTTTCTGCACAAGCAGCACAGAGAATCAGCTCGGTAGTTGTTAACACCCTGACCTGCTCCAAAGCCAAGTCTTTCTCGCCTTGTCTGGGAAAGAGGTACCACCCCCTAAGCCATATGGGAAAGACTGCAACTTACCGTCTGAAAGCAAGATACTTCTCATTAAGAATCACGAAATGAAAAACAATGATGCTTCTCCCTCAAAACTTACTCACTGTAGAGATTAATTAATGCCAAATCTGGCAAGAGAGCTAATGGTACGAAAAGCAACTGGCTTTCCAAAGGGCCAGCTTGGTCTCCCAGCCTCCAGGGTGGGGAAGGAGAAGAGGATTGCTTTAGATCTTTCTCAGTTTTGCTTTATTTCACTGCAGATGGTCACATCAATTCTGCGGCAAGGGGTGAAGTATTTTTACGTCAAAGAGATGAGCCTACCTGAAGTTACAAAGCTAGGACAAGAACTGGCAGGTGTTGGGAATGCAGTTTTGCAAGCACATTTTCACCACGTTGGCTCTGTTACCCTGAAACCCAACTATATTCAGGTTATCTGTTCTCCAGGCCAACATCTCCATGAGACGAGAGAACTGGGTTGCACCCGTATGGGAGGAGATATCACCCAGGTATATGACTCGGGTCAAAGAATTACAAGCTGGGCCAAGGGCATACACCTGTAACCCCAGCACGCTGGGGGGCTGAGGCAGGACTGCAAGTTTGAGCCTAGCCTGGGAAATTTAGCGAGACCCTGTCTCAGACCATAACAACAGGTATGGGGCTGCAGCCCAGTTCAAAGACCCTGGACTCATCCCCAGTATGGGGAGGTGGGAGAATTACATGTATGGTAACATTTGTTGAGTATCTTGCTTGAAGGGCCAGGGGAACCAATTGGGACAGATTAAAACGTCAATCTTAAAGGGAAAAACGTTGCTGCACATGGCCACTTCCAAGAAAAATGCCTCAGAGCCTTCAAGAGGAATGCCAGGGGGCATTTTTACAAGTTAATACTACCTGACTCACTTTTCTGTCATAAAGCACAGGAGGTCTTGTGCTACCTCCCTCCCCAGCCTTTTGCATACCACTTCTGCCTCAAATGGAGAAATCCGTGTGTTATCTATAGCTACATCCCATTCCATTTACAGAAGGTCACTCAAGTTTGTATTGCTCCAACCTTCCCCAGGTTCTTCAGAAAAAGCACTCAAGGGAAAGTTTAAGAATCTATTAGCTACCCTCAACTTCCTTTAGCACTAATTCCAAGAAAAGAGTGAAAAAGTTAGGTCTTCTGGAAAGAAAAGGAGAAATGAAGAGGAGGAAATGGTTCCTAAATGTGCAAGTTGCAAAATTCTAATTCTCCTTTCCCCTAATGGTCACATTTAATATGCTTGGCCCACAAGACGCATAGGCAATGAATGAGTTACAGGGGAGGGAGGTTGGACAGCTCAGACTTCTTGATATGAAGTTCCTAGGCTAAACAGTAGATGCTCTCACAAGGTCTACCTCTCCCTGGGCCTACCAGTAGCTGCTGAGGGACACAAGGACCTGCCCAGTTGCAATCTTTGTAACAGAGCAGTGAATTCTGTGAAAGAACCAACAAGACAGTGTCCTTCCCCGGCATACCCAGCAACCCGTGTAACTATGAAACACCAAGTGCTTCCTCTGAATGCCATTCACTTCAAGGACAAAAAAAAAAGTCATGTCCTGCCCATGGACTCTCTTGTAGTCATACTGGGAGATGAATGGGTCTTCTGTGCTCAAAAAGAAAACCATGAAACTGGGATAGGACTAACACACAGAAATAGTGCTCCCTATGTCCTGTGAACACAAGGCTAATACATCTTAACAAAGGACGCCATTCCAGACTTGCGCCTGTTCCATTTTGTGCTCAGTTATGCACGAACATGTCTGCTTTACTACCGTTAAGTTCTTTTTGTTGTTGTTGCAGTCAGTGTTAGGGATAGAACCCCGGGCCTCGCACTCCACTGACCTGTACTCCCAGCCCTTGAGAGCAAGTTTTACAAAACTGTGCCCCAAAGCCTTACAGACAGAAGACAAAAATGGTAATTATGAGGATGAAGAAATGAATGGCACGGATTTATGCTAACCTGAATCAACGCAGTAATCTCGGGGCTCCTGCTTGATTCCCATTGGTGACTGGAACCCATGTGCTGGGGGTGCCGGCATTCCAGGGACCCCGTGTTCATAGAGTGGGTCATGGTATTCTTGTTTGAATCCCTGAGGGGGAGGGGGAGCTGCAGGAACAATGGGTTCCGACATTTGCCGGTGGTAACTGGGGCGATTATCTCCAGGAACTCCTGACTGAGGAGGGTAGGGGTGGCAGGGTTCAGACAGTTGTCTCTGAAATCTGAAAGAAAAAAGAAGTTAAGACACGATAGTACTTACTATGATTGAGCACTGAGGACTGAAAGTTCAGATCTACAAACTTATTTTCAAAGTACTTATTAATGCCTATTTCTTGACATTTTGTCCTATACCAAAAATTATACTGCACATTGCAAATCTCTTCGGTCAGAAGAGGCAAAAAACAAACAAACAAACAACAAAAACCCCTTGACACATAATATAGTGACTTCTCTTGTTTATATAATGTAGTCTATAGATTTTGGGCCACCGTATACATCTGAATATATAAGGTCAAGTATTTGCAACTAGCACTAACGTATACATATTTTTTTCCTATAATACACATATATTTTTTCACTAGTTCATTCATTTTCTCACCTGTAGACAGAATGAAATTTTAGAACACAAATTAACCAGTCAGAAAATACTTTCTTAAAAAATCCCACTCATAGGGCCAGGGATTTAGCTCAGTGGTTCCGCCGCCTGCCTCGAAAACTCAAGGACCCGAGCTTGATCCCCAGTACCAAAAAAAAAAAAAAAAAAAAAATCCCACTCATAGTAGCAATCAAAAACTTAAAAAGTCCTAGGAATAATCAGTAAATGTGTAGGCCAAAAGAATAAAATCCTGACAATGTTTTCCAAGGAAAAGAAAAAGATGGAAGACAAAATATTTAGCGCTTTGAAGCTGTTGAGTTACTGAAAATTATTTTATAAAAGCAATGCCTTTGCAATCAACTTGACAAAATGATTCTAAGCTTTATTTAAAAGATGAAATACATTTTTGAAAAGAGTGAACTACTAGGTACTGACACATTATAAAACTGCAATATCTAAAACAGTAATACAAGTAACGAAAAATTGATTGGCAGATCAAAGGAACTGAATAGAAAGTTAAAAACTCTTAGATATGTTCCAAAACTTGTAACTTTTTTTTTTTTTTTTTTGGTACCAGGGATCGAACTTGGGTCCTTGCGCTTGCGCAGCAGGCGGCAAAACCACTGAGCTAAATCCCCAGCCCTCCAAAACTTATAACTTAAGTTAGCATTTCAAATTAGTGACAAAACGAAATCAGACTGTTTTATACCACATGCCAAAATAAGTTTCCCATGGATAAAGATTTCAAGGTAAAAAGTGAAACCATAATACAAAAGTAAACATACATGAGAACTCAAATAATTTTGGAATGAGGAAAAATTTTTCTAACCATCATATCAACAACAGAAACCATCAAGATAAACACGGATATGCCTCACTGTTTAAATTTCCATAGGGACAACAACAAACCCCAACAGAATCAAAACCAAAAGAAAAACATCAAACGAAGAAAAAAAATTTGTAATAAGAAAAAAAATCAAAAATAAAACTGAGGAGGCCCAGGGATTTAGCTCAGTGGCACTGTGCATGCCTCCCAAGTGCAAGGTCCTGAGTTCAATCTCTGTACCAAAAACAAAAAATTAAAAATTAAAAGGACCTGGAAATATATTTTTCATAGATTAAGGCAGGTTGCTAAACAGAGCGTCAAAGTTTTGCAACAAAGGTAGTCATATGAAATCACGGTAAATTTTATAGGTAAATGTTAATATGCATTATTTTGGGGGTGGCTCTGATTTTGGATGATTTTCCTTTTTGCTCATTCATATGCATAAATACGCATTATTTTTATAACAAGAAAATAAAAGGCCTTTGTTACGGTTTTAATCAATGATTATTATTGCTGACAACCTTTAGCAGTCAGAGCAATCCAGATGTGTGTTAATTACCCTCCCCTGTCAGTGGGCAGTGTGGAAGGGTAAGCCTGAGATCCTCCGTGGATGCCACTCACTAGGGAAGCAACGAGGCAGTTCCTTGGTTTTATTTCCTCATCTGTGACACAGGGATGAATTATCCTTCCAATGCTTCTGGAATGGTGAAACATAATCATGTCTATAAAGCATGGTTTTGGCACACACCTGATCTTTAACAGACTGGAATAAACTTCCGGAGGGTAGGTGTGGAAATGAGAGATCAGTGAACCTCAATCTATACACATGCATAAGGCACTAATCTTTGTGTATAAAAGTACTTGTGATTTTCTTGGGCAGAAAGTAGAAACCAGGGTTCAAGGAAAAAGAAAAAATTTAGAATGGCTAATTCCAATGCGTTTTGTTGTTGTTCTGCAGTACTGAGGACTGAAGCCAGGGCCTTTGTATTGAGCTACATCCCCAGTACTATTTTTTTTTTTTTGGTACCGGGGATCTAACTCAGGACTTCTTCACACAGGCACCAGAACTACTGAGCTAAATTCCCGGCCCTATTTATTTTTATATTCATTCCTGAGACAGGGTCTAGTTAAGTTGCCCAGGTTAGGCTTGAACTTGTGATCCTCCTGTTTCAGCCTTCCAGAGTGCCGGGATTACAGGTGTGCACACCACCATGCCTGGCCGAATTCTTATTTACCTTTACTTTTTTGGTGCTGGAGATTGAACCCAGGGCAGGGCCCATGCTAAGCACAGCCTCTACTACCGAGCTATACCTCCAGACCCTCAATGAGGTTTTTTTTTAAATCAACAATATAATCTTGTAACCGTAGTCTTACTCTCTACTTTTAGATTGAATCCTATTAATAGCTTCAATCAAATAATTTGACTTAGATCTGAATCAACCTGTGGCAACAGGTGGCCAACAGATTTCTAGAACATCAAGATTCAAAATCTTCAACTGCAGAGATCTGGGTACAGATAAAATGCTGTTTAGATCAGGGTGTAGCACCACATGGTATTTTCCTGTGTGAGTCTGTACCATTCCACAGCAAGCAGCATCATGAGAGCATCTTACAACATGAACATGGAGCAATGTCACACACACTGAAAACATCTGAATCTGCCTGGCCATATCAACAGTTTTACCAACTACCCAGGCTTCCCTACGTTGAGAGCCTCCTACAGAGGTGTTGGGTGCACTCTGGCAGAACTGCATCATCAGGAATTTGAATTTCAAGGTTGCTGTTATTTAAGGAAACCCTTCCAGGGTCTCTGAAGAAGTGTAAATTTGCAACTTAGGTTTAGGCTTGACATTTAGAATACAGGCACCAGCAGCATGCTGCAAACCTGAAGGCAAGTCTTTCAGAAAAGAAATACGAGGCTCCTAGGATTTACTTAGGGTGCCCCCGCCTTATGCTACTTGGGAGGAACAGTAACAAGGGCCCCTGCCTTCCATTTTCTCTCCCTTTCCCCTCTGCCGCCATCTTATCACCTTCCAAGGTGACCTCCACAAGTGGGCTCCTCTGATGGCTCTGACCTGGCCTGTCCCACCAAGCTCTGTAACCAGAGCCTCCACAGTTGGCAAGCCCCATGGCCCCACTTCCGCTTACTGCTCATCTTCTCGCCTTCCAGAATGAAACTCTAAGTCAGCCAGGGATGCCATCCTCAGGAGAGGGACTTCCAAATGGGACCACCCAGCAATCCCTCCCTCCCTGGCACACACTAGAGAGATCATTGGCAGTGGTTACGTTTTGAGAGTAGCAAAGGATATCTCAGGAGGAGGTCATAAAACAAACACGTTCAAAAGAAAGGTGTCGGGAGCTTGCTGCCCTAATTGCTCTTATTTGCAGCTCAGTAAAGTAGTTCAGTTCTTGTCCTCAAAATACATTCTGTGACATTTACTTGGTGACCTTCACTTGAACCCCTTTGCCTCTCAGCAGTAGCCCTGAAGTATCTAAGAATGTGCTGTCTGCTTAAAACAGCAACTGAGGGAGGTGCTCTCTCCTAGTGGAGCAGCAGCTCAGCCCCTCGAGCATCCTCTCCCACCTTCCCACAACCCCAGCAGAGACTCACATTTGGTGAGCAAAGGGCTCCCCGGTAAGGCCTTTTCGGTGCTGGTTTATTTAAAGCGGTTATTTATTTGTCAGATTTAGATAGCGCCTTTCCTCCTAAGAGCTCACCCACGCCACCAACATTTGGTTTACGTTATGAAAACCGTTAGATGCTTTTTCTGCATTTCCTTTTTGGTTTCTGCTGCCAACATACTGAGTAAACACAATGCTTATGGATTAAAAAAAAAAAAAAGGAGCAAAGTGCAGATCCAATGAAGGCTCCACAGTGGCTAAGGCTGCCAGGTGAATTAGTGATGGCTCAGAAGCCAGCGTTCATAGACACTGCAAAATCTGCCAAGAACCAAGCCCATATGCACTTTCTGTTGCGGCTAAGAGAAGATGATGGGAAATAGAGAAGCAGCATAGTTGAGTGAGAGGCTCTGGCTGTGAGGTCAAAACAGCCAGGGCTGAAATCCAATCGTTGCCACTTACTAGCTATGATGTTGTATGAGTTAGGTAACTGCTCCAAGCCTCGGTTTCTTCACCAATAAAATAAGAACCACTAGGATACCTGTCTCAATGATCTGTCGTAAAGATTACAGAAGATAATCCAGGGAAGCCAGCTGTGGTGGTGAACACTTGTAATCCCAACACTTGAGAGACAGGAGGATCAACACAAGTTAACAAAGCCTGAGCGTGGAGGCAAATCTCTGTAATCCCAGCACCTCGTCAGGTTGAAGTGGGAGGATCATGAGTTCAAGTCCCAGCTGGGTAACTTACTGAGACATTATCTCAAAACAAAAAATTTAAACAAGGGCTGGGGGATACAGCTCAGGGCATAGGCCTTGGGTTTAATCTCCAGTATGGGGCCGATGGAGGGGGAATAATTCATGTAATAGAGCCCAGCATACTACTATGTAAGTATTCAATGCATGTGATATTCAGCTGCCCCATCTTTTCTCCATAAGCCCTTAGCTAAAATCAGAAGCTATATAAACATGAAAGATTTTAATTAAATCGAGAGCTCACTAGTTGCCTATAATATCCATTCTCCTTTTTCAGAGAGAGAGAATATTGTCTTTTATTATGGGTAGCAACATGTCACCCAACTTCACGTTCATGTTTACTTTCCCGTCGTATTATGAGGAGCCAGGCGCCGCTGTCCTTTTCTAAAAGCACAACAAGAAACTTTGAAACAACTCCCAGGGCTC